TTCTTCTCCGCTATACCTTACCCTCTTCATATGATCCCTCTCTCCTATTCACCTCAATACCCTGTGCCCCTCTTATGGTCACTCTTCACCTGGCCACATCACATTTCACCTCCCCCCATACAACCGCCATGATACTTTTGCTATCCTCTTTCTCAATTTCCTCCCCATTCTTTCTGTTTCTTTTGCTTCCTTTTCCTCCTCTTATAGCCTCTCCCTGTCGCACCTTCGTTTTAATAATCCTGCTGTTTGCCACTTCTCTGGTCAGCCCTACATGCATGTCTACAAATCTACATTCTTCACTGATGCAACACCTGTACGTCATTCCTTCATACAATAATCATCTACAAACAGTAACCTCCTCACGTTCATCAAGATCCCGAGTCCATCTGTGTAGTCCCCCCCCCCCCCCCCCACACCTACCATCGATCTTTGCGATTTTCCATGAGTCGTCCTTTCTCTCCATCATTTTCATTTGGTCTCTCCGATCTTTGTACACATTCAAAGTTGTAGATCCTATCCTACGAGATTATCAACTTTCCTTCGTATACTCGCTTCTGCCCCATCTCATATTAAATTCCTTTGATGGTTTTAACATCTCGCATGTTATGCTCACCTCGGCGGGTATTAGTATGAATAGCTCACGCCATCATTACCTGACGTTGCCACCTTGGTCTCTCTACATCCACTGTTGATGGGCGTATCTGCTAAGCCAAACAAGAAATGCTAGCCTCAACTCCTTAGAGAATCAGTTGCACGCCCTTATCTACGGCACCTTGGGTTCTAGCCACTTATCTCCTTCGTTATATTCGAAATATAAGCCCTTTCCTGCACCATCTATAATTTTAGCGCTCTCTCTGCCGCTCCACCGCCTCTGATATTCCCGCACCTAATTAAGGTATTCCTCTTACACCACATCTGCTCCGCCAGTCCACTTATGCTCACCCCCCCCCAGCCTTCCGATTTACATATTTTTGGTGCTCAAAATCCGATACATCCTTTGGCAGGCGGCCCATATCCCTCCCCCCCTCTGTGTCTGCGCTCCCACCCTGTGTTCAACCATCTTGCCCTCCCCTTGCGTGCCCTGCCTACTGCCCTACCGCTTCTGTTTTGCCGTCCCCTGTCCTGCCCCGCACTTGCCTTCTTGCCCGGGCCGCGACCGGTTGCTCTTTGCCACGAACCCCAGCCCACATTACTACCACACACATCACACACATGCCTCCCTATTATATCATACTTCCTAATTCCTCACGTCCTCCCGTACTTGCGGCCTGCATCTACTTTTCTTTCTCGGCGCACTCGTCTTTGTCCACCATCAGTTCTTTCCCAAGTATATGAGGATTCGCTGTCCCCCCGCTCACCGCGTGCCTTCCCCTCGACCTTCCCAGCCGCCTCCCTGCCCCCCCCCTCTTCCCCCCATGCGTCCCACCCACAGGGCTTCGGTTACTAACCATTCATTAGAGGCTCCCCATAACCTCCTTTGCTTTTTCCGCCGGACCCCACCATTCACGGGGGCGCGAGTTCCGTTCCCCCCGTTTCCCCCCTGCGCGCCCCACCAGTGTCCGTTCGCTTAATTATCCGAACATAGGACACACCCCTTTCAGGGCGACGTCGACGCGCGGAAGACGCGAGCGCTACGCTAGTCTATAATATACGCATCATCTCTATAATCTATTGGATTCCCTCGCTTCGCAATTCTAATTTTGGGCTCACGTTCCTTCTTCCATTGACGCCTGCTGTCTTTTTTCCCCTCAAAAAGCCCAACACTCATCGTGAAGCCTTTAGTCGTACCACTCCTCTTCCTTTTCCGCACCAATCTCTCTCTCTCCCCCCCTCCTTCGCACTTGGCCTCCTAACATATTCTGTTTCTCTCGCTGTCTACCCTCTCAACCTCACACGCGTCTCTCCCCTCTGCTCCATTGGTTTCTTTATGCCGTAGCTTTCTTTAGCTCCCTTATCGCTCCTTTCCCACGCTTTCCCATCCCCGCCGGTTATTACATTCTTTCTTTCTATTTTTATTTTCTCGGGAGATCTTCCCCTCGCTACTAATCCGCGCTATACCATCACGATCTTTGCAATCGCCCCTCTCAGTTTGCCTGCCTCCTTCTTTCGCACCGTCGAGAGCACCGACCCAGTCCTTCTTCGAGATACGCAACCCCCCTTCGTCCTCTTCCGTCTTGCCCACCTATTTTCTCTCCCCACCCCTCCCGCTCCTATTTGCTCCCCGCTACCCCCCGGTTCGAGGGTGGGAGTGTGTTTGGACCCCTGGACTCGATCACGTGCTCCGTCTGCGTCATTTCCACCCCAGCCATTGCCGTCATTCGAGCTTTTACTCTGTCGTAGCTCTCATCCTCATCACATACCACCTTTGGTCGCCGCTTGATATGCGCCGTCTGTTTTCTCTTGCTGGTATAGGTTCCGTACATTTTTTCACCATGTGTTTTCCACTCGTATTATACTTTCCTTATCTCTCAAGCCCCGCCCGGTATTGGTTTGCATCTCTTCCTACCCTCCCTCTCTCCTCCTCCTACGGTGTAGCCCCTTGCGTATTGGGTCCCCACGCCGATGTACAGACCCTTAGCTCATGCTCATTTCCCACCCCGCTCGGCACCGCGGGATATTGGACATGCGGTCGCCCCGCTGTCCTGCCACCCGCTTATACTCCCCTGCCGCTGTTAAACTCCAGCCGCGCTATTACACACCTTCCGACATTTGTTCGTCTCTCATGTTAGGCGACTTGTTTTGTTTTGGGCTGGCCACCATAGCCTCTCGCTTTTTGTGTATGTTTTTACTTTGACCACACGTCGTCAGCTGCTAGATTGTGTGTTATTGACAACATCTTTACCAATCGTTCGTTTTTTAGACCCTAATTGGCCTTTCTCTTATTGTCCTTTATTATTTATTTGCCTCTATATCGCCTCGTTTGCTCCTCTTGCTTAAAAGGTATCTTTGGTCTCCCCCATCTTTGGTAATTTCCTTATTTTTGTGTTGGCTGATTAGTTACTTCCCCTTTGACAACATATCTATGACCTCGTAATATGTCCCTTAGTCTCATGTGGTATTTTTCTCCAATTAATTTATACTCACAATCTTGCCACTCGACCCGGTGATTAACTAATCGTTTATTGAACCATATGACTCCCGTTGAGCTTCCCTCAGCCCCCCCCCCCCCTCCACACACCCCCCTCCCATAGCCGCGCCCCTGGCGGCGGTCCTACACCTCGTCCCCCTCCGTTACCCCACCACCCCCGGCGCTGCAAGCCTTAGTCCTGTTGGCTTCGGTTGTTTGAGGATTTGCCTCCCCTAAAGGCGAATTTTCCCCTCGGCGCACCCGCAGTTAGCACCACGTCCTGCCAGCCCTCCTAGATTTGCCTCTACCTCTGCATTGCGTCACCTCTTTTGCATCTTTCCTCTCCCACTTCTCTTTCTTTGCCAGGGTCTCCACTTGTACGTTAACTCGTTGCTACCTCGTGTTTTGCATCAATAAATGACTACAGACCTTTTAATACGGTTAAGGCCGCAGTTATATACAGAGTAATTTCATACTTTAATTCGCTTGGGATTTCTCATACATGCGATTGGTAAATATTTATAATATCATATAATATAAATCAATGAATTGATAAATTATAGACAAATTTTAGATCTAATTGTACTCAAAGGATCATTCAGACTAGTTACATTATGAGTGAATTAGATTGGTTATCAAATACAGTTGCTACTAGACAGTAAATGTTTATGTGAATGTATAAATCGCAAACTGCACTTGGCTATTGACAAGTGTCATTAGATTACACAATCAGTTATAATTGTTGTAATGGTAGCTTATCTTGTAATGTGTCATAGTTAGGACAATATATACTATGCTTGTAAGAAGATTTGAGTTACTTAATGAAACAATACAATTGAGCTCTTTCTTCCTCTCTAAGTAATCGCACGATTTCTCTCTGTCTGCTCTTCATTCTCTCTCTAAGGTTCTGCGTTCTACATTTGATTGATCTTGGTTTACAAGAAACAATAAATTTAATTTAACAGTCATATGATTTCGAATTTGGATGATTTTCTGTAGACATGATCTGTGAGGTAAGACGTAAAAGATAAACGGTTGGATAATTGAAATACATTGCAGAGTGAGCTTCACCAAAATATGTGTCCAATATATATGTCAAAAGCATGTGCCACCGGATCCTAATAACCCTATATATAAGTAACTAAATGATAAAGTTTCTTGACAACCAGTCAACTGTACATAGTCTAATTACTAATTATTTATACTATGATAGTATCCAAAATGAGTGAGAGAATAAGAACAAAATCAATCAATTGCAACTTTCATCATCAGTCCGCGTTTAGTCAAGGACAAACATCCTGTAGTTACTTATGGTATTGCTGATGTCGTGTGGCATAGGAATCACCTATGCTTGTGAGTCAATCCAGGCAAAGACTTATACTTGTGGTGGGCCTTTTGTGTTTGCAAGATCGCTTACAAAAAAAAACATTACCACAATCTAAAAGTTTATCCCAAAATTATTACCTGATGAAGATTTAATGTAATCGATCACCAAAACATAATCACCAGTCACACAAGCTAAAAACTCAAAACCCCATAACATCATTTGGTCATTAGCCCTATTTTGAATGCATTCCTCTACGAATTGCAGTGAGAAAAAAAAAAAAACACTACATGAAACATGTTTCAGGTACACGTAAGTATTTTTCTATAAGCTGAAGTATAACTTTCATGTAACGATGATGTACTCCCCCCACACATGAGTGGGAGTGAGAGTGGGATCGAGGTGAAACATCACTGTTATAGATGTGCCCTTAACTCTTGAAATTTTTCACATGTCAATTTTTATTTTATCATAGGCGGTGTAAACTTAAACCTGATTCTTTCTCTTAAATGCATATTGACAGGTAAGGTGCGTGGATTCTCAGTTGCCCAATTTGTAGTAGGAGACAGAGGTACAAGTCCATGGTTAAAAAGATCCAACAAAATCTAATTGTTAGTACAAGTATAGAGATTATAATTTCAAAATAGTGGTATAACTCAGCATTCAGCACAAATGAGCATTGACGATCTTGATTGTGAATGTTGGTTGGTAAAGATGATTAATCATTAAACTCAGAGTCAACAATTACATAATAGAACACTTCGTTTCTTGTGGATATTGATCATGAACTACGTGATAGTGTGGAGGATGTTGTGGATATTGGATATAGCTTGATGTCCAAGTTATTGGATAAGTAGTTGGCTTTTTCTCGTCGGTTTTACCTTTAACTTCTTCAACACTTTGTATGGTGGCATGGCCAAGCTTCTTCCTCAACGACATGGTCAATCTCATGGAATCAACTCCATCTCCAATCACCTCCAGCTGCTCTTTCTCCGCATCTATCGACACTTTGCTCACGCCTGCTTACATGTTCGATCAAATGTTAATATTCATTAGTTAAGATAAAAATGATTGTATTGTTCCCAAAGAATATATAAAAAAAATAAGAGTGCCTAAATCATCTCCCGGTCATAAAAGGATAAGCATACCCCGAATTGTATTTTGGCCCTCTAATATACATATTTTAATGTATAGCTGGGGCCACATGGGTTCCAAAAAGATTAGCTTGGCTAAAAGGCTTGCTATATTTGCCAAGCCTGTGGCCCTTTAGCCTGCTGATCACTAGATGCAGCCTACTTATAACCTGCTTGCTGGAGATGGCTTTTAGATATTTTATGGACTAAAAGATCCCTTTAGATCGTGGATGAGGATAGCCTTAAGTTTAAAGATTGGTGCATATATTTTGCATACCTTTAGCGACTGCAGCAATCTTCAACGCCTTGGTTCTGTGTTTTTCAGAGCTCAAGTGCACCTTCACAACTATCTTTTGCTGCACCATTGTACAAAAGGCTAGATTGTTTTTCGTACGGAAACTCTATATGAATTTTTGTTGGCTATTTTTGTTTCTTGTACTTGAGCACTTTAGAGGTCAATAAAAAGTAGCAAAAAGCTATGCTGTATTTATAGGAGCTTCGTCGTCTTATATTATCATTACCTGCTGTTGACTAATCTCAACAGCAGACGAGATATTCCCACAGCTTAAAAGCCTAGGTTTCCACACGCTTGGTCAAAGCCACCGTAGATTACTCAAATTCTTTAGTAAGACCCAGTCGATTCTACTTTGATTTGATTAAAATAATTAGTTGGAAATTAATCTTTCATTTCTTAAGTACTTTACGTGAAATACACATAGCAGCTAGCTAGATAGCTGTAGAAGCTTCTTGTGATTCCAGAATGAATAATATGAACTTCATGACACAAATCATATATATGTGAAAGCCTTTAAATTACGCCATTTTTTTTGGATTGATTATTACACAAACTATTACAAACGATATTTTATATTATTCTACACCAAAAATAGAGAGGGTTTGAATTCAAAATAGAGGGAATTACAATCCATCACTTAATTAAGATTGACAACAGGTTTTGCATTCACTAACAAAATATTAATCTTGAATAGGTCTCACTTAATTTATTGTGACAAATATTATACATCTCATGATCAAGGATATTCGAGATTTAGTGCTTATATGAGTTGTTCAGTACTTTGGAGTCAAATGCAAAGTCATGTTTAGCTTTGGGCTCAATAGTTATAGACAATTCTATATAACATTAAAAAGCAAGGTGCTCATGACGTGCACATATTAACTTTATGGCGCGTTTACTAATCCGTAATCAAATTGAGAGGAATTGGATTGAGAGAGAATTGGATTGAGGAGGAATTGAAATGAGGTGAAATCAGATTCTGATTCCTGTTGAAGTTGTTTACTAAAACTGTCAGGAATCAGAGTAGGAATGATGTTTAAGTCCATATAAGTTGTTTACTAATTCATTTCAATCGGAATGAAAACTAGGTTGATTACTATATTACCCTTACATAAATAAATTATTTTCATACTAATTAATTAAATTAAATTTATATAATAAAATTCGTCTATATAAGCATGTATTAATAGGTTTTATTTATTTATTAAAAGATGACAAGAATGATGTTGAGTCTATATAAGTTGTTTACTAATTCATTTTAATCGGAATGAAAACTAAGTTGATGACTAAATTGCCCTTACATAAATAAATTATTTTCATACTAATTAATTAAATTAAATTCTTAATTAAATTTATATAATAAAATTATCTATATAAAAATATATAAATAGGTTTTATTTATTTATTAAAAATGATATAATAAATGTCAAATGAAGGGCAATGTTGGGATAATAAGAAACAAGTGAGGGCATAATTGGAATAAAAGATGCATTCGCGATTCCCTTGCCCTCAGGGAATTCAAATACCTCACAAAACTAGGGAATCCGGTTCCTCCAATTTCAGGAATTGGATTCCTTGTTTCGTGTGGGCTCTACCACTTTTTTTATTCCTTAATATTTAGTAAACACCGGAATACTCCGTAATCGAAATTCAATTCCTTTTCTTTATTCCGATTACCCTTACGTAAACATGCCATTAGAGTTAAAAGTAGGATCCCCACCTTAGAAGATACACAAATTGGTTTTATGATTAATCCACGTGGCACCATATGATTGTATCCATGTGACCCACTTGTTTGTCACATTAGCATATTAACAGAGAATTTAATGAAGATGAAACAGAATGATCAAATTGCTTTGCGGTCCATTTTTAGGGATCAAATTGATGGATTTTTAATTGTTGATTCACAAAATCAGTGGGGACTTTGGTACAACAGAAAATGTTAAGTTTGTGACATTCGCTAGATTGCTCCGGTCACTAGTGTGGATAAGTATGTAAATGGATAGAGACAGGGAAGCAAACACAAGATGTACGTGGTTCACCCAGATTGGATACGTCCACGGAGTAAAGGAGTTCTCATTAATTGTGAAGGGTTTACACAAGTACATATGTTCAAACTCTCCTTTAGTGAGTACTAGTGAATGATTTAATACAAATGACATTAGGAAATATTGTGGGAGAATGATCTCCTTTTATAGAAGAGAGTTTCTAGCTTTGTTCTGACATTGACACGTGTCGTGTTGTGATTGACTTCTGATGTTGACACGCGTCGCGCTATGATTGGTTTCTGATGTCGACACGTGTCGCACTGTGATTGGTCTCTTGGTTGGAGGGAAACTCTTCTGGATCCTTGACGGTATAACGTTGACCGATGTTCAGTAGTTTCGAGATTGGTCAAGTATGGTACAAACAAATTTCAAAAATCATTTTGATTGGAAGGTCCAATTTCAAAGATCAAATCGTGATAAAAACCCTACGTATAATTTAGTTTAACATTTGGTTGTTTAATTGGAGATAGCATAAAAATTGTTTTCCTATAATATATACTTCAATGTTTGATTTGTCACTAAAGAGATAAGATCAATTAAGCAGTAGCTTACTTGACATGTGGATCGGGTGCCTATGATTGAACTATATTGGCTTGTGGTACAATCCGGCCAAAATTTCTCTGCGTTGTTTTTTGGCTCAACATCGTCACATTGACTTGTGTCTCAACATCGTCACATAGATTTGTGTCTCAACATCGTCACATTGACTTGTGTCCTCACTTTGAGGCCACAAGAGTAGTACATGGTGTAGATTAATTTGGCCATCTTTCGATGAATTCCCCGAAAAGTATGTATAGGGAGAATAATGTTACACAAATTGAAAGTCGAATTTGAAATTAAGTTTAAGCTTTTACCCAGTTCAAAAAAAAAGTTTAATATTTTATAATAGAAAAATGTTAGAGAAACGACAATTTTATTTCATTTTTTTAAAAGATGACCAGTCGGTGGCTTTGTCACAGCAGTTTACTCTTTCGGGGGCCGAGAAGATTTACATAGTCATTTTAGTCTCTCCTGGCCACCATCTTGTGATTCACCCAACTCTATGAATCGAACTCAGGACATATGTTGTGTAAAATACGTGTCTAGAATTCGTCTCCAACCACTGGACCACCTATACAGTTTTAGACTACAATGATTCATTATCTGATGTGGCAAGTAATAAGTTTTTGTATGTGTAATGTACATAAAATTAAGTTGCCTCCAATGGTTTTTTCGCAATGAAACCTTCAGTCCCAAAATCAAAAGCAAAACGAAATCATCCCTTGGATATAATAAAGTTGTGTCATCACCACGTTTCTACTCTTGTGGTGAAATTACTCCCTATTTCATTATTGAGTTGGGGTCATAACTTTCGAGCCTTCTTCTTTTGTATTCTACCTAGTCAGTTCAATTCTGTGATCTTCCCTATCCTTTTTCTTTTCCTCGTATGATGATGAAACAAAACAATAATATGGGTGCATCATCTCCAATGATCAATTTCTTAATTTAAAAAGAATCTTGCGTATACATTAAATAAAGTAGATGGCCTGCTCAGCCACCACTGATCTATACTCAAGCCCACAAAAGTCACTGCAACAAGCAAGTCCATATCACTCGTAAAGCTAGACAACACCCACAACAGACTAGATTGTATTTTTTCTGCTTGATCAATGGAATAACTCATTTTTTATAGAAAAATAAAAGAAACGCACCCCTAGAAGATTGGTTGAAACTTCGACCTTGTGGTTAACAGCCAGCCACACGCGGAGAAAGCTTAGGTGGACAGGACCCATTTTGTAGAGTAATCAAGAAATAGAGATAGTTTTAAGTGTGTTGACACCCTGATTAACCATGCATCCACACATGCTGCTATATAATCACACTTTCACCCATTTATTGGTCAAAAATTAGTATGGATCAGTACAAGTACATAATTAAAGGCAACTTATATAAATGGTCTCTTTGGATTACAAACTTGTTATGTTTGTGATAAAAGTGTTTCTTGTAAAAGCACTTATGATCAGAAATGTTTCGTAGTACCTGAGCAATTCCATATAGGTTAGGAAACGCATGAAAAAGGCACAAGCAGAAACACAAACAAAATTTCAAAGAGAGAAGCAATTGATATAAATATTTCTTATCAACTTTAGATCCATGCATCTACAAGGGAAAAGAGAAAATGAAAATGATCATAATCAAGTTCAACTAATTCATGTCATACGCAATTACATTATGGAGCAAGTGGTTGGTTCTGGATATTCATGAACCAGTTCACAGTACATTGGACGAAACTGGGGAGTGCAACAGTATTGAACACAGCTTGCTGAAGGAGCTGGAGTTGACTTTTCCTCAGTTTTAACTGCCGGCTTCACTTCTTCAACTTTGACTATGGTGCAGGAACAGCCGAGCTTTTTCCTCAATGACCTCGTCAAGCAAACCGAGTCTACATCATCCCCGATCACCTCCACAAGATCTTTGTTTTCTCCTTCTATCGACACTTTACTAACACCTGCTTTCATTAATTATGATACTCTTTAATAACCATGCCAACTATAATTAACAATGAAATCGTTGAAAGAAAATTTGAATCATGATAATATCATAAGGCACATACCCTGTGCACGAGCTGCAATCTTCAAGGCCTTTCTTCTGCATTTGTCACAGTGCATTGGCACCTTCACAACGATCTTCATTTGCTGCACCATCAATTTGTACAAAAGATGTGTAAACAATATGATCAATTTATACATTTAATTAATGTCAGCTAATTTAAGAAAACCTTCTCGCCTTATTAATTAGTTTCAGTTGGATTAAAAGAAAAAATGTATAAAATGTATATAACTGCAACAAGATGCAAGAGTAGTAGAATATATATATATATATATATGAAAAGGCTTACCGGCGGCATTTTTGAGAGAATATTGTGTGATAGAAGTTTTAAGTTTTTGGGATGGAAACCCAATGAAACAGCGAAGGTAGAACTATTTATCGATTACCATGCTACTTATAGAAGATAGGATCCCCTTTAATATTTTTCTTGACTTGTATTACAGGTCCACGCATGCCTACCCGGTACCAATTACATGAGATCGTACATTTCTTCTTTTTTTTTTTTTAGCGA